AGGGCCAGTTCAACAATTTGCTTCATAATTAGTCTTGCCAAGGTCTCCTGAAAAAACACTGATCCGTTTTATTCACTTAAAACTACATTTAACAAATCAAGAGTCCTATCCCCACAGTAAAAGAAAGTCGATGAGGGCAACAGCAGGTTTTGTTCAGCAGCAAGTACTCTGTAGCCAGCTTAGCTCTGTTTTCATGTAGGAAAGTGTCTCCTCTCTGTGTAAATAGTTTGACACATCTGCCAATGTGCGCTAAGGCCACCTAATTATGTATCAATGAAATTATATGTTTACTTTGCACTAGCTTGTCACTGCCAGCTCTCAATTATTGTAGAGTCTTTCCGGGGCTACTATCAGGCTATGCTTAGAACGGAAGCCTGCTGAATCTGTCATATGCAGTCACTACCTTTCATTTAGCCTCTGATCTCTGTGTGTAGATGGGAAACTTTTGCTTCAATCCTTGGTCAATCATAAAATCAAATTTTACATGAAACAGCATCACTCTCTCAGCCACTTATCTAGAATATTAGGACATACCCTGGAAGGTTCTCTTATAAAATAGAAGAGATAAATTAGAGGGATAGTACAGAGGTGGGTTTCAGCAGGTTCTGACCAGTTCTGGAGAACTGGTAGCGGAAATTTTGAGTAGTTCGGAGAACTGTTAGTAAAAATTCTGATTGGCCCTGCCCCCATTTATTCTCTGCCTCCCGAGTTCCAGCTGATCTGGAGGAAATGGGGATTTTGCAATAATCTTCCCCTGGAGTGGTGTGGGAATGGAGATTTTACACTATCCTTCCCCTGCCACGCCCACCAAGCCATGCCATGCCCACCAAGCCACACCCACAGAACCAGTAGTAAAAAGTTTTGAAACCCACTCCTGGGATAGTACATGTGGATGCCCAGGAAGATCATTATATGAACATTAGTGTTCAACTGGCATTGAAAAGACTCAGGTTCTAGTCCACCTTCAGCCTTACCTTAGAAGCTCATGGCATAATTTGAGGCCAATCATTCCCTCTCAGTCCAACCTACCTAACAAGATTTTTGCTATGAGGAAAAATAGGAGGCGGAAGCACTACTTTCAATAGGATTTTCAATAGGAGAACCAGTTCGGCCTAGTGGCAAAGGCTCCAGGCCAGGGAGGAGGAGACAGACCGTGAGCTCTATTCCTGCCTCAGCCATGAATACCATTGGGCCAGTCACTCTTTCTCACATCACGGGGTTGATATTGTGGGGAAAATAAGAGGAGGAAAATGGGTTGGAAGGTGTTTATCACCTTGAGTTATTTATATAAATAATAAATGTGGGATATAAATAAATAAATATTTTTTAAAAAAAACCACATCAAAAAAGCATAGAATGAGGGGAAAAGAAAGGAAATCCCAGTCCAGTGTTCTCAAACTGGATCGCCCCGTGTCCCCCAGTGTCTAGAGAGCATTGGATGGAAAGCTTATACTAACTAGCCCAATAAAGCTTTCCTTCCTTGCATCTGCCATTATACCCAGATTAGAAACAGAAACAAATAATGTCTTCTAATATTGTTATTATGAATGTAATTTGGAAAATAATCTAATTTATATCTATGTAGGCATTATTAAAACATAAAGGTATCGGGAACCTCTCTATGACATTCCAAAAAAAATAAGATGAATAATTTAAGTGAAGATCTGCGGCCGAAATGGGATTTCTGCTGATTTTTTTCATTTGGAGTTGATCCTCCTATAGATATTTGTGGATGTGTTTGAATCCACATATCTCAGTGATTGTAACAGTAACAGTAACAGAGTTGGAAGGGACCTTGGAGGTCATCTAGTCCTGGGGTGGGCAATTGTGGCTCTTTTACAACCTGTGGACTTCAACTCTCAAGCTGTCTCAGGAATTCTGGGAGTTGAAGTCCACAGGTTGTAAAAGAGCCACAATTGCCCACCCCTGGTCTAGTCCAACCCTCTGCTCACGCAGGAGACTTGTACTAGGGATTCAAACCGCCGAAATGCCAACCTTTCTGATCGACAAGCTCAGTGTCTTAGCCACTGAGCCACCTAGTCAGGCTTAACAACTGTTCAAAATTATGTAACAGGACTCTACTAAGGTATGCTATGCCTCAAACTGAACTGTAGCTTGTCTGTTCTCACTGAGGGCTAAGAGAAATGCAACTCCCTTTACAGCAAGAGAAGCTACCTCTTGATTTGCCACTGAGATACCATGGGACAAATGTTGTTTCTCTTCCACATTCTTGGAATGGTCTCTCATCACAGTAAGGCCTGTGACTTCTTGTCTTTTCAGGGCCTACTTTGCTTCAACAGAATTGCAAGTTGTAAAATGACCATTGATTGGTCAAGAAAGGAGAGGTACACGCAATGAGCATCAGTCTTGGTAACAGAACATTCAGAAACTCTGTCTTCTCTCTAAGCTACACTTTTTTAGCTAGACAGGATTATGGGGCTTGTCAGGTGAGGGAGAGACAACAATAAAGGCAGGAAATGTGCAAGCAGATGCAGATGCATGTATAAACAGACACACACGTGCACACACTCACAAACAGAGTGTATACAATTGGGTGGGTTAGGGCCTCTAGCTATTGCTAGACTACATCTCTAGCACATTCAGCCAGCACAAACAATTCTGAGGGATATTGGGAATTGTAGTTCATCAACATTTCTTAGCCCTGAGCAAGAGAAACTGAGAGGAGCCTCCTTAATGTTTCAGGATTGTCAGGCATTCGACCAATTTCAAATACTTTTTTTAAAGCTGATATTTAGAAGAAAAAATACATAAAATTTGACTTCACTGAATTTCATTTGCATAGTGGTAATACAGTACTCTGAGCAAATGCACGTATAATTATTTAGGTCATCCATGAAATAGAATTATTTTTTTTAAAAATGTTGATTGATGGTGCTTTTTATTTTTCAACCCCTCTCTCCAGTTATAAAAAAAGCTGACATTTGATATAGGAAAATCAAGATTTTGGGTCCTATGTTGAAGAATAATGAAGGCTGAATAAGTTTTGCCATTCAAGGTTTTTCCCCCTCCTTAAGAAAAGCCACTTTTCCTAGGGCCCTTCTAAATCTATCGGACTATATCTCACCAAATGATGGAAATTATCATTCAAGATATATGGACAGCATCAGGTTAAGAAATGCTGAACTAGGAGTCCCTGGACAGGAATCTAGAGACCTCCCTATAAATAGTCAAGCTAAAGCAAGTCTGGTTTCTCTCACTTTTCAAATGGTTGAATTCTGCTCTCCAAAAAGGGAGGCCTTCATAGATTGATTAAAACCAGAACCAAATATTTCCTACTAGCACCACTAACCTGGACAAGAATTAGACTCAAGAAATCAGGTCAACAGGCTATTGCCTAGAGCAGTGGTATCAAACGTGATTTCATTGAGGGCTGCATCAGGGTTGTGTTTGACCTCGGGGGGGGGGCGGTGTGGCCAGGGTGGCCAGCTCGACATCACTCATGTGATGGCGGCCCGAGCGGTCTGCCAGTGAAAATGTGCTCCCGAGCTCCATTTCCGGCTATGATGGCCTTCTACAACCCTCTGCCAGCGAAAATGGAGCTCGGGAGGGCAGCACGCAGCCCTCTCAAGCTCCATTTTCTCTGGCAGAGGCACTGCTGGCCAATTCCTCACTGTTTCCAGGGTGGCCCCACGGGCCAGATCTAAGCACCCGTGGGCCAGATCTGGGGCCGGGAACTTTGAGTTTGACACCCCTGGCCTAGAGCATCTCTAATTGTAAAGAGACTTTACAATTACCACTCCTCTATGACTCAGGGCAAAAAAACCCTAGGGGCCTCTCCGTGCAAAGGGCAGCTGCAGAGGACAGGGCACATTTGGAGCTAAGCACCCCCATCGGCACCTTCCCTATCCACAGTGCCCACCCTCTTTTGCTCTCCTGCCACTGCTGGCAGCCCTGCCCATTGCTGTGCTTGGGTTTGGCACGTCTCACACACAGTGAAAGAGAGCTGTAAGATGAGCTCAGTCCAATTCCAGAGATTGGGAGTTTGGTGCCACTGAGTCAGAGGAGAGGCGTGCGGGAGCTGGGGGGAAAGGAGAGAGAGGCTAAAAATATCACAGAAGAGCAACACACAAGGAGATCTGCTGGGTGGAAAACACAGCCAGGCAAGGGCAGGTAAAGACACCCAGAACAGACTTTGTCTCTCTCTCGCTGCTTAATTCCTGCTAAATTTCCAACCAAACATAAACCCCGATTTGCTGGGACTACCGTTTCCGAGGAGCAGGATGCCCAGTAGCAACAAGCTAGGAATTTAGACTGGGTTTTCTAGAAGGCAAGAACCCTATCATTCAGTTCACATGTCAGGAAACACACTGATGTGCCTATTAATTCTCAACTACTACTAACTATTACTGCCCAAACCACACAATCTCACACTTGATATCAAGGCATTTGTTACAATATTCTGTTTCACAACATCCGAACTATGAAATGTTGTTGTTTTTTAAACAAAGCCTGTATCTAGGAGTTTTGTAGCAGAAGGGAAACTGGGAGGTGGGACAGGGGAGTCACTGTACTCATGACCGCAGCCGGAGAGGAATGACGATCTAAACTTGTTCCTGGAGATTAGGATCCAGATTGATCACTCAGTAGAGCAAAGTTCAGTTGGAGAAGTTAGGAGATTCTTTAACTGCAGCAGGAAACGTCAGTTGTAGGTGCAGAAATCCCAGGAATACAATCTTTCCATATCTCTCCCTTGTTCTTTTCTTGCTCTCTCAATGGCTCTTTTTGCCTTGGACACTTAACTCTTGATTGTCTTCAGTTCCCACTCAGGAAGACCACACAGGGAAAGATTCCTGCATCTTTTGGTAACGGGCTTGACTTCTGCACAACTTTTAAAACTCTAGGAACTTTTGCCCTTAGCCATCTCTTCTCTCCTCCTATTATCTGATGCATCAGCCACATGTCCCATACCTGCGCACCAGCCCAAATTTAGGATTCTACTTCTACCTCAAAGCTGGTAATGCAGAAGAAATCAATGTTACCTTTGCTCCTGGGGCTTGACAGAAGCTTATTGATAACTTTTTCTCACTCTCTGGGAAGGTTGTGTTTGCTCAGCTGCTGGCAGAGGAAAGGAAAGACCTTGTTTTTGTGGAGAAAGAATGTAGCAGTGTGGGAACAGGTGGCGGAGAGATACAGGGGCGACTGGGGCAGGGTGTGTGTGTGTGACAGCACCGCAGGTCAGGAGTTCTCTTCAAACCAGCAAAAGAGATTGCCTGCTCCTCTCCAGAATGACAGGAGCAATTCAAACACCCTGTAGAAAGTGTGTCTTCCATTACTACTGTATTTCCTGCTTTGGAGAAAAATGTAGACTTTGAAATTCTGACACAATTGTTAAAGGCAGCGAACAGCATTTATCCTTCGCAAGGGAGATTCGTGGAGGTCAATTTCTTTCTCTTCCAATGTTCTCAACAATGGCTGTTATGACAGCCTCCTTCCTATTTGTGTTGAAGGGAGAAGCGCTGCCAAGGGCTACTTAGCTGGCCAACTCCCCTAGGCAGTCTACTTGTATTCCTATGAAAAGATCAAGTGATGGACTCTCTTATTCACGGAAATATTTACTGGATCCTCTTATGCTTCCTACTGCAATGGGATTAGATTAACCACATTGAGTTTAACACCAGAGTCAGCATTGGAAAAGGGCAGCAGGGAAGGATCCAGCATTCCTTAGACTGTGGGTCTGTGGCAGTAGAAACTGGGCCTGTGCCTGCATGCATAGCCAGACAATAGCAGCATTGAGATGGGGATATTTCAAGAATCTGCTTGAGATCCTCATGCTGCACCCACAGAGATAAACCCTCTCTGAACAGCTCATGGGCTTTATGGCTTTCTACCCACTTCCTTTCCCATAGGGGCCTTGAGCAACACCCAGACCCACTTACCTTTCTTGCTGTACTGTATGTCCTCCCAGCTTCTGTGATTTGAGATCTTCTAAGTCTTCCCTTCTATTTTCTTTTTAGTAATGATATGGCCCTTTCCCTACCTTGTTGTCCTCTAGATGTATTGAACTGTAACTCCCAGAATCTAGTTAGCATTAATACTAACTAGCATGGCAGAACATATGCTGGCCAATAACTCAGCAAGTTGGCCAATAATTTGGAGGAGACAATATGGGGAAGGCTGGCTAAAGACTTTTCAGCCTGCATTAGATCAGTTGACAAAGATATGCAAGAATGAAAAGGAATTTGGGTCAGTCAGAGTGTACATTTGGATGTATCTGCACCATAAATGTTTCCCCTTCTGCCCAAGTGTACATATGCCTTGTCCGGATGTCTCAGCTTGCCTCATCCTCCACTGGTTCCATGATTCTTTCTCTTTCCTGAGTGTATGAACACAAACAGCAAAGGAAGGAAAAAGATTAGGAATTCAGCATCACCATCAGAGCTTTTTAACTGTTGGCACTATAGGAAGAAAGATCCTGGGAAAAATGAGTTTGGGCCAGAAATGTGAAACATGGACACAGAAAGGCTCAACGCACTGAAATATGGGGCATAAAATACTTTTGAGTTGTGTAGACTGGTCGTTCTTTCAATCCAGAGTCAGTATAATTCTCATCAAATACTGAGATAAAATAGAGCTCTTGAATTCCTGCCCTAGTTCTACTTCCATTTCTTCAGACCATTTTGTTTTGTGTTCATATTCTTTATAATCTCATTTCCAATTTTCATTCTCCCTTGATTTTTTTAATTGCCCCTTGCTACTTGTGTTCCTTTCTTCTTCTGGTGGCCATTTTCTTTATTTTCTGAGCCCCATATGTTGCTGTCTCAAGCAGCTCTTCCCCTCTAGGACTGGCATCCAATTAGAGAGGGCTCTCCATGAAGTGCCTTAGAACGGCCTCCTCCTCTGTTCAGGGAGGTTATCACATAGGAGAACTTGATGAGGATCCGGGGGAGAGTAAGAGGGAAAAAATGTCCACTTCCTCACAGCTTATGTTTTAAACAGTAAAGCTTTTGCCTTTTGATCAAGGATTGAGGATTAATAGGTTCCACCCCCTGAAAAAGTTTGAGAATCCCGGTTTAAAGAATGCCGTCAAATCAGTCTATTAGAAGATACACCAAGTGGAATACGCCAATCTATTACCTCCAGAAATCTCATGACATCTTCAAAACTATAGATGGCCAACTTGCTCTGTACCATAGTGGCACAGTAAATCTGACCGCTTGATTAACATTGTATCACTAATGATTACATTCCAGAAGTAATTTGAGAAAAGGCTGACATGAAAGCGACCGACCCCTGAGAGTAAACAGCTAGCAATCAGAATCTCAGCAACGTGTTTGAAGATAAAGACTTCAAATAAAATGAAAGTAGGGAGAGTGCTCATGTCCTTGGTCTTTCTAGAATGACCACCTGTTGCAATAGTTTCAGTGTTTGCAATACATCTTATAAGCAAGTCAGTATCAATTTGCGCTGCCCACGGATTAAGGTACTGCTTGTTTTATATTTTCCACTGTGGAAAGATAGTGATTCCTTGAACATATATCCTTGAACGTAGATACAGTAATGTTGTCTATGTGGTATTGTATCACGGAAAGAGGAGAAAAGAGAACAGATTTCTATTCTGAAATAGGATTTGTCCAAAATTTGCTCAACAAAACCCCCTTCTCTTGCTAAATGCTTGTTGTCAGAAACATATAAATACTAATTTCTGGAATCTGAGCACTGGTGAATGCACAGATGCCATATGTATAGCTTAAGGTTTCATGTATGTATTATAATATTAATAATTAACATGTCCCTTCCCACAGAAGGAGAGGGCAAGTGTATTAAATGAGCCTGTAGTACAGTGGACTAAAGCACTGTTATTAACTTGTGCTGCTTGCAATTACTGCAAGTTCAAATCTCACCAGGCTCAAGGTTGACTCAGCCTTCCATCCTTTCAAAGGTAGGTGAAATGAGGACCCAGATTGTGGGGGCAATAAGCTGACTTTATATAAATATACAAAAGTATGAAGGCTATTGCTTAACGCATTGTAAGCCGCCCTGAGTCTCCGGAGAAGGGCGGCATATAAATTTTTAAAAAAATGCACAATTAACATCCCAATGGCTTGTTCTAGCCCCCTATGGGTGGGACTGAGGACAAGTGAACTGAGATGATTGTGGCTTAATCTTAAAACTCTTGGAAAAACAATAAAAAATCCAACTTTATGCCGCTTGATCCCCACTAGCTCCCATGGGCCTAACCAGCAAAATTAGTATATTATATTTGGAGGGTACCAATCCAGCTAAATCTGTTTAACTGCCTGCCTACCTGCCTGACATTTCTAGGTCATCAACAATTCTGGTCAGCTTAACATGCAAAAAACAGTAAATAATAAAAATAAAAACCCAAACACAGTGTGGAATGGGAAACCACCAACTCCCCACCCCAACCCCAGAAATAAAAACAAACAAAAGGCTTACTTAGTGAAAAAGGCAAGTTTTTAATACACTTTTAAAGGCCTCTAAGGTGTGTGTGGGGGTGTCATGTGAATCTCCCAGAGAATCCTGTTCCAGAGGGAAGGTGTAATAAAGAAGGCTCACCTCCTGGGACGTAGTAGAGGACATTGCCTAACTGATGGGCCCAGGATTCATCTGCCAGATCTTCCCATGGACAGAAACCATGGGAAGCAGATAGGTCCTGAAACAGCCAGGCTTTATGCCCTGTAGAATCTTAAAAATAACAACCAGCTGCTTGAATTGCACCCAACGGGACAGGTTTCTAGGAAAGTCATTTCTGTTGGAAAAAGTCATCGTAGCTGGTTCCGTAATCCTTTATTTACTTGATTGGGAAATGTACAGATTTTTTTTCCTTTTCTTTTTTGAAAGCATATCTCCCTGCACCTTTTACAGTACCCTGATCTTCCAACATTTGCAAGAGACAATATTTTCTCTCTTTGGCATGTGGTGAAAAACATTTTCTGCTAATTCTTGTATGCTGTTACAACATGTTTTCCCTGCCTACTTATATGGCAGTTCTAGAGAAAGTTGACTTCTGAGGATTCTATGTATTTATTGTTAAACTGGTCCCCAGACTTTCATGTCATCCAGGCAGCTTTCAGCACCCTATCTGAAATGGAGCTGACTGCAATGAACTCAGTAAACCAGCAATATATTATTACTACTGCTCATACATAACAGTTCAGTATAGCCATGCTGTGTCCTTTGCTCATCAGTTCAAAATAGCATCAAGCTTCTTTTAAAAAGCCACACACCTGTTTCTTTGGGGATTTTCAAATTTAACTTTAAACAATCTGGCAAAAGCAGAAAAAAGTCAAAGTTACAATAAGAGGATCAAAACAACAGAAAGTCAGTACTGAAGTGGTAGAACGATCACTCAAGCACTACAGCAAAATATAATTGATAGGATAGCTTTCTTTCTGTTAATGAGGTTAAACAAGAAGACAATAAGCTGTTGCAGAAACCCCTTAAACAATAATAATAAAATAGACTTGCAGCAGGGAGATCCCTTGATTTAAGGACGGATATCACTCCCTGTCAAAACTAATTGATTAGTGCATGGATCTCATTCACTATAATACTGGCCATTGAACGGTAGGACTGCCAGATCAGAACTGCAGAAATATGGATGATCATTAAATGGCATCAAAATATTGAATGGTTTTCTTCATCTATTTACTAACGTCAGAATTGCAGCCTGGAACTGATAGCACTGTGCATGAATAAGTAACTTGGGTCCCATTTCTTATCAGCTCCAGGCAACATGACAAATGATCAGTCATGATGTGATGTGGAGTCTAACAAGGGTTGGAAGATGGAATGTTAATGTGCACCGTGTCCAGTTTATTGATAATTTCACAAGATATACAAACTATATTATTTAATATAATATAAATTATCGTCCGGTCTCCAACCTTCGCTTCGTGGCGAAGGTTGTTGAGAGCGTGGTCGCGCAACAGCTCCCCCAGCACCTGGATGAAACGACGTATCTAGATCCGTTCCAGTCGGGCTTCAGGCCCGGGTACAGCACGGAAACGGCATTGGTCACATTGGTAGATGATCTCTGGAGGGCTCGGGACAGGGGATGCTCCTCTGTCCTGGTCCTGTTAGATCTC